TAAGTGTATATAAGGAAGTGTTTCCAAAAATGGAAAGAGGTGGGCAGGTAGTATATTAGTAATATCTTAGCAAATAGGATGATAAGAGGTTCTCATTTTATATTCTAGCTTGTCAATATCAGTAATTTGAGTTCCTAGTTCGTACAAAACTATAGACTTAGTATTTTGACATCTCAAACATCTAGTTTGAACTAGTGCTGCATTCAACATACTATGTGGCACAAAAATCGATGATTAACTGTATTTTTTTAATATCTACTTTTAAATTAAGAAATTGAATAATGTATAATACTAAAAATCTATATACTACTAAAACTCTGAGATTGTGTGTGTGCTTGTCTGTAATTAAATACCACAAAAACAGCACACAATACCGCCATATTTGTAATGAAATGAGAATAGAAACAGAATAAAACAAGTTTTGTTAAAATTGGGCCATGGGTTACTGAGTTAGCCCTGTTTTTGGGTCACTTTTCGTACATTCCATTATTATAAAACTGTGTTTATACAACAATATATGCACAACAGAAATTAAATGATGAGATGAAAATGTGTTATAAAGGTGCATAGGAAGAACAACAATAAAATGGACCTACAATATTATTGACTATTTGCAAATAGTAACTATGGAGACGAGGTAATAAAATAAAAATCAAGTCGAGAACAACAACAAAATTTTATAAACGAAAACCTCTCGCCGAGCATTGGCTATTATATTATTTCCCTGTCAATGTTCCCATCTTCATTAAAAGGCTTAAGATGACAAAAAGAAGATCTCGAAGGATCTATCTATATACTACTAAAACTCTGAGATTGTTTGTTTGTTTGCTTATTTTTTCAGTCAATAAATCATTCACACTACTGTTCGGGCTCTTTACGAAACTTCTTACTTCACTTTTTTGAAAAATGATATGGTCTTTTCTTTTACTCCCGATCAACAATCAAGTATCTTTTCTTGAGTTATGTATAACACAAATGGATTGAAATATTTAATTAAATTATCTCAAAATAAACCTTCATTTTGGTGCAATATTGAAATTAGCTTGAATTCTTCATAACCTCTGAATAGTGGTTGACCCAACGGGTCACGGTGGTCTAGTTGAATTATAATACACAGTTTGATACCAAACTTATTGGCATAAATTCATAAAATAGTAGTTAAATAAAATTTTGAATGTGAGTCAACAAACGCGATGACATGACCTTTCACCCATGACCCGTCTGGAAAGGGTTAATGTAGTTTCAGTTGATAAAGCATGAACTGATAGTTTCCATGTGACATATTCTGTTTTGTTTGATCCTGCTATATGAGTCTATTTGTTTCTCAGGATCATTCATATTCACATTAGCAATATAAAAGTGAATGCTATTGCAAACAGAATAAGAAAAATATGACCTTATTTATTTAATTTGAGCAGAGAATCAAGTCAGTTACATTCAGTGATATCTAACAGTGTTAAAACATTTCTCTGTTGAGTCATTGTATATACCGAAACAGTTATGAAGTATCCCCTTTTGATGTGTTGCCCTCTGGTTCTCAAATACACGCAAGAGCAAACTGGCCTTAAAGTTTTGGTTGGTTGTATAGAAAGAAAGTATTAAAAGTACAGGAACTGTGACAACATAAAGATGTTGCACTTTTAAAGATGCTTTACCAGTGTTACATTATATAAGATGTATCCACAGTCTCAGTTTGGGTTTGTGATTGACATTATTAAAGAAATATTAAATGTAATGTAACTTAGTGCTTGAAAAACCATTTCCTTTGTGACCTGCTTGTTCAGAGTTTACAATAGAATAATGCAATATTTATTTGAAAGATTGTTTTTTTCAGTATTCATAAAAAAGTAAAGTGTACATGTATATATATTTTAATATAGATAATACTTAGACTTTTTCATTTGAATATTATGAAAAATTATCACATCTAACAAGTAAGAAATGTTAAAATTTTAGTGCAGTTACTTCAATTGGAGTCTCTATCCACCGTTGCGGGAACTTCTGATGGAACTTAAAGTGGATGTTCGAAATCTAGAGAGCCGGTTTCAGAGAAAGGCAGAAGAATCTGAAAGTACAGAGAAGTTAAAAATTGGAAGGAAACTTCCACCTCATGCATTGGTGCCAGGATTCATGGATCTGGATGAAGTTCCAGTGAATTCCCCTGGTGAAAGGTCAGTTTTTTGGTTTTTTCTTTCAGATTCCCTGTTAGCAGTTTTTTAAGTCATTTCTAGTTGTTGAGTTATAAATGTTTTTTTTATTAATATCATTAAAACTTAACTAAAACCAGTTGTTGTCACACATGTATCATTGCGATATTTTATTTGGTTAAACTTACCCATTTTTATTTATCGTTTATTGTATAACATTAACAGTTTTTGTTATTTGGTTTTCTTCATTGGTATTTAATGTGAATTTAACAAAATGCTTGATTTGTGCTCAGTTAGCTATACTTAATAAATTTTGAATAGCTTATATAAGGATCTCTGTATATCAAGGATTTCATAATGTAAACAAGTGTGTAATCTATTAGTATTATACATGTTTTAAATTGATCCTTTACAGTTTTATTTCTCCTATTTGTTTGATGAGTGCTCAGCATGTAAAAATGCAAGTCCTTGGAATATTTATTGAACAAGAGACATGGACAAGTCATAATCTCGTACTCAGTTTGACATATTATTCTGTCAGTGTTTGTTTTGTTTGCTTAATATGCGTCATGTTTATGATTTGTTTAAAGTGATGGCTTATTAGCTGAAAATACATTTTTACTCTCATAGTGCAGGGTTTAAAGCAGTATATCTTGGTGTGGCCTATGTTGGAAATGTAAGTATCACTCTTCATAGACTTGCTCTCTTTTTTTTTGCCAACTTAGATTTAAAATGATAATATTGTAGTGTTCCAGTTCATATTTATTTTTTAATATGTTGTTTGTAAGAATAATACTATTTAGAATCTTTTAGTTTCATTTTCATTTGCCTAATTTTAATATGATAATATTGTAAAATAAAGTTGGAAAAACACGCTCTGTAGTAATACAAATGTTTAAAATCTCTCTCTCTAAAGTATAACTTATATAATAGATATGTAAATCCCGAATCTTTAATATTTTGCTTCTATTTAGGCTTTACTTTTGGGCCTATTGATCAGTTTATGATAACAAAAAATGTATCTTTTACTCCAATTGCCAGGGTTTGATGGCATTTTTCATACAGTTCTAGCTTCATGAAAATTTATATGGCAGATTTTAATTTTCTTTATTTCTAAGTAACACACACACACATACAAACGATTACAAAACCTCTCACAACTGACTGGATCCTTCGTAAATTTGAATTGCTGTTTTATGGATCACTTTACTTAATCTCTTGTAGAATAAGTGATATGATATTAGAAAGTTTCTATTTTGGGTGATATCCAGCTGTGAACTATAATATAGTTTCAAAAGGAAGGTATTTAGCAGAAATTTATTTTTGAGTTCTCTTTGCAATGAAATTTCTATTGTATTATGGTTTATATGTACAACTATTATACCTTGTATCAAGTATAGATATGTGTACAGTATAAAATAATATTGTATGTGGCTTGTTTTATGATTTAGTTCAATGTGCAGCATAAAAATGAGGATGGAACAATTCACCATATAATTTATTCATCATCTTTAATAAAACTTGTGTATTTTTTTTCTTATTTTGTTACTTTAGACTGAGTGTATCCTAATTTAAATTAGTATTTCCCAAGTTCTGTACTTGCTCAATTTCTTATTGGGTGTGTAATTAGCTTCTCATTCTTAAACCATTCTCAGGCAGTTGAGTTTTAGTAAACCCTGCATCAAAGATTTTAGGCCTGGTGTATTACATTCTATGGTAAAGTTTCATTAATGTATTTAGGCTCATTTTATTTGTGCATTTTGAATATGTAGTGCCTTCCAATGTGTGAATTTACTTCTCAAGATTGAGGAGAGTAAGAAATGATAGAGCACAATATACTAGAATATACTCAAGCAACATTTCTAATTTACTGAGGCATCATCCTTCATAATTAAAAACATTAATAGTGGTTTAACTTTTCTTTTGTGAAAAAAATAGACTTGAATGATGACAGAGCAAGACAGAATTACAACTGTAATTGTAATTTTAGCTGTTAGCCCTAATAAAACACAAACATGCAAATGGGGCAAGTTAGAACATTCCTAATCACTTTCACTACCAACAAATTCATTAAAAAGCATGACTTATAAGGCGTGTTTCAGTTACCTGCTGTTTTATAACATTGAAATATAAACTCTTGAGTTTTTAAGAAGTTCACAAATTGTTGCCTCATATTCTCTAGGCTTCTCAGTGTTCCTAGAAATATTTTCTATGTGTACATTGATGTCTGGCCAGTTATTCAGAAGTTTGGAAGGAACAGTTTGTTTATGCTGTACCCATCTTGGCCTTGCTGGTTGAGATAGTGATCTTCCATTATTTCTGCTACATCATTATGTCTGTAAGCCTCTTTGAAGAACAGGTAGATGGGTGTCAGGATGTCATCTACTGTACTTATGAGTGTCAGGATGTTATCTACTGTACTTATGGGTGTCAGGATGTTATCTACTGTACTTATGGGTGTCAGGATGTTATCTACTGTACTTATGGATGTAAGGATATCATCTACTGTACTTATGGGCATCAGGATGTTATCTACTGTTCTTATGGGTGTCAGGATGTTATCTACTGTACTTATGGATGTAAGGATGTCATCTACTGTACTTATGGGCATCAGGATGTCACTGTACTTATGGATGTCAGAATGTCATCTACTGTACTTATGGGCATCAGGATGTTACTGTACTTATGGGTGTCAGGATTTCATCTATTGTACTTATGGGTGTCAGGTTGTTACTGTACTTATGGGTGTCAGGATGTCACCTACTGTACTTGTGATGATGATATAAGTTGTCCTGCATGTGAGTTCCAATATATGGGCTATGAAGTGTATGCTTGAACAAGCGAAGGTGCATCTGTTGCCAACAGTGTATCCACACAAGCTGGTTCTATGGTATAACTATATTAAGTATAGACACATATTGTCTGTGGCTGTTCCACATATAAATCTTTCTTCAGTGTAGAAAGATAGTGTTTGGCTGGTTTCATGGTATAACTCTTCTATGTTCAGTATAGAAACATTATTGCATATGCCTGGTTCCACAATATAAACCTATGTTAAGTATAGAAACATGTTGTGTATAGTTGGTTTCATGATATAAATCTATGTTAAGTATAGAAACATATTGTGTATACTTGATTTCATGATATAAATCTATGTTAAGTATAGAAACATGTTGTGTATAGTTGGTTTCATGATATAAATCTATGTTAAGTATGGAAACATATTGTGTATAGTTGATTTCATGATATAAATCTGTGTTAAGTATGGAAACATTGTGTATAGTTGATTTCATGATATAAATCTGTGTTAAGTATAGAAACATATTGTGTATAGTTGATTTCATGATATAAATCTATGTTGAGTATAGAAACATGTTGTGTATAGTTGATTTCATGATATAAATCTATGTTGAGTATAGAAACATATTGTGTATAGTTGATTTCATGATATAGATCTATGTTAAGTATAGAAAAATATTGTGTATAGTTGATTTCATGATATAAATCTATGTTAAGTATAGAAACATATTGTGTATAGTTGATTTCATGATATAAATCTATGTTAAGTATAGAAACATATTGTGTATAGTTGATTTCATGATATAAACCTATGTTAAGTATAGAAACATGTTGTGTATAGTTGATTTCATGATATAAATCTGTGTTAAGTATAGAAAGATCTTGTGTTTGGCTGCTTCCACAACACATATCTGTATTCAGTATAGAAACATATTGTTTATGGCTGGTTCTATGATATAACAATTCAGTGTTGAAGGATATTGTTTATGGCTGGTTCTATGATATAACTGTATTCAGTGTTGAAGGATACTGTTTATGGCTGGTTCTATAATATAACTATATTTAGTGTTGAAGGATGTTGTTTATGGCTGGTTCTATGATATAACTATTCAGTGTTGAAGGATATTGTTTATGGCTCGTTCTATGATATAACTATATTCAGTGTTGAAGGATACTGTTTATGGCTGGTTTTATAATATAACTATATTTAGTGTTGAAGGATATTGTTTATGGCTCGTTCTATGATATAACTATATTCAGTGTTGAAGGATATTGTTTATGGCTGGTTCTATGATATAACTATATTCAGTGTTGAAGGATATTGTTTATGGCTGGTTCTATATAACTATTTTCAGTATAGAAAGATGTTATGTATCCCTCGAACTTAGAAGACAAACACACTTGTATGTTAAAGTCCTTATAGTCCTGTATAAATGTATTTACAGTACATCAATTTCTTGATTGTATGTATAACAACCATCAAATGAACCTATAATTACCTAAAAAAATGACTTAGTGGGATGTTAATATGTGTGTGTGTGTGTGTGTGTTGCAGACAGGGAAAATTGAAAAAGTAGAAGAAGGAATCAAAAAAGTACTCATTACATTCAGCATGAAGAAGGTGAGAATTGTTCTTGAACATGTTACTTTATATAAGGTCATTTCCACTTCATTTTATAAGTACATTGTTTTAATTATTAAACTGTTGAATATCTGCAAGTGCCAGAGAAAACAAGTATTGTTATCATCATTGGATAATATTTCAATTTAAAGATCAAATCTTCAAAAAATATCCATTTAAGTTATATAATTTCTCTAAGTAATGAATTATTACATATTTGCACAAGATGCATTATTGCAGAATTGCAACACAATTTCCTGGAGTTCCTCATCATATTCTCCTTCTTTAGATTAGTGTGTACATAAAGTGTTTACAGTTGAAAGCCATACTTAGTATCTGATGGTGTTTAGACCACCAAAACAGTTGAAGTACAGGACAATGGTTTGGATTACTGTGTTCAGTTGCAAACTGGGGTTTAGGTGTTTTTGTTTCGAGGTATTCTGTAAGTTTAAAATAATAGATTTGTTCAAATTTTGGACAAGGTTTAAATGTATTCTTATTCTATATACTCTACTGTAAGATGGAATATCATAAATCAGGACCATGGAAATAACGTTCTCAACTTTCCCGAGCACCTTCACAGCAAGTAGAAACTTCTAGTGTACTGGCTGGTGTGTAGTTGAAAAAAAAAGTTTGTACATTATAATTTGTCCAATTTTGGCTTCATTTTCATACTAATAAAGTGATATCAAGGTACTGACATAAAATCAATAATCTTGATTACATTCTTATTATCTGTTTTCATTGGTGTGTGGATGTTTCAGTGACTAATCAAAAGACACATTCTTAAAAAGTTATGGAAGTTTTAAAAAATAGGAGTTAGGTTAGTGTTAAACAGTATAATAGGAGTTAGGTTAATGTTAAACAGTATATTTACATTCAAGCAGATGCTGTGAAAAGGGACAAATCTGTTATTAAAGAACCATTTACAACAAATAGTGTGAGATAAAAATGTAACTGACACAAAAAGAGAGAGAAAAATACAATCTATAAAAGACAAAGGTGGTGAGGGAAAAAAACGAAAATTGCAGTCTTAATTAGTTAACCGATTTTCTCTGACTTCAACTTGACATTGATACAGACAATTTGTCTGGCATGGCCTTCTTTAAAAACATGATTGTTCCCACTTTTGAGATCGAACCTCTTGCTTGTGCCTTGGAAAAATGCTGGAGCATCATGTATCATTAAATAATTATCAAAAATTGATAGGCAACTAGCCTGTGTCACTGAAGCATCCTGTAAAGCTAAAAACGGTTAAAGGATCAATAGATAAATTTTCTTCTATGAAGTTGATGATTTAATACTGACTTTGCAATTTTATAGACAACAGACTATTTTCAGTTTTTGTGATGTGCAAAAAAAGAAAAAAAAAAGAATGAATCTTGGAAGTGTACATCAACAGTATTGTGCGATGTAAATGGTGTATGACAAAACTGAGCTCAAGATTTTTTTTTTTAGCAATTCAGTTTTATGCTCACATATTTTTGTGACAGTGTTTGTTTTTGTTGAATTGCCATATAACTATAAAATGAGATCTGTTCACAAAAATAGCAACAACTACTAACAAGGCAGAGTCATTTAAAACAAATTCAGAAATACTCGTTTAATTCCCTTATTTAGATTCTGATAAGTAACTAAGACACTTTCAACATGAAGTTATCATTTATTAATTGTACATTGGAATAAGACAACTTATTGTGGCAAGTATATACGTGGTCTCAAAATATTTTGCTATTAATTTGCAGCTTGTTAAAAAATTTTTATATAGAAGAAATAAAAGCATGACCCACAGAGTTTCCATTAATGCACATATGTGATCTGTGCCCCCCAAAATACTCTTTTTTTTGGGGGGGGGGGTATAAGTCTTTCTCTCATGCATGCACTAGATGCATAGTATTTTCTTTACCTACAATACTGTTTCAAATTGATTACATAATCTTGTAGATAAAGTAGTTATGTAAATGTTTATCCTGTTTCAAATTGATTACATAATCATGTAGCTAAAGTAATTACCTAAATGTTTATCTTGTTTCAAACTGGTTGTATAATCACATAGATAAAGTAATTACCTAAATGTTTATCTTGTTTCAAACTGGTTGTATAATCACCTAGATAAAGTAATTACCTAAATGTTTATCTTGTTTCAAACTGGTTGTATAATCACCTAGATAAAGTAGTTACATAAATTTTTATCCTGTTTCAAACTGGTTATATAATCATCTAGGTAAAGTAGTTACGTAAAATGTTTATCCTGTTTCAAACTGGTTGTATAATCACCTAGATCAAGTAGTTATGTAAATGTTTATCTCGTTTCAAACTGATTACATAATCATGTAGATAAAGTAGTTACCTAAATACTTATCTTGTTTCAAAGTTATTACATAATCATGTAGGTATAGTAGTTACTTAAATGTTTATCTTGTTTCAAAGTTATTACATAATCGTGTAGGTATAGTAGTTACTTAAATGTTTATCTTGTTTCAAAGTTATTACATAATCATGTAGATAAAGTAGTTACCTAAATACTTATCTTGTTTCAAAGTTATTACATAATCATGTAGATAAAGTAGTTACCTAAATGCTTGTTATGTTTAAGCTGCATATATAACCATATAGCAGAAACAGTTATCTAAATGTTTATTTTGTGTTTTATTTCATATCAGAATGTTTTAATCGATGTTGGTGAGACAAAAGTTACTGTCTGTGAGAGACATTCAAGACATGTAAGTTGTTTCTTATTCCACATTTTGAAGTTTTGTTTATGGAAAAACCTTCATATTTGAAACATTTATTATATTAAATAAGTATTATTATTACTTATTTTACCTAATCTATTCTTAAATAACTTAAAAAAGATTCGTATTTTAGTATTTAGTTTACTTTTATTAATTATACTATAAAGAATAAACTAATAGTAAAACAAAATAAAAAA